GGTTTTGAAGTGCTAGGCAAATACCATATAAAACTAGTACATAAAATAAAAAGCCAAATAAAAAGTTAGTTTACTGAATAACAGAACTAACAGAGACTGATTTTCTGCTGACTCATGGTTTATGGATAATTGGCTTTTATGCCTTCAAAAAAGGCATCCATTCTAAAGGCTGAAGGATATTTTCCACTGAGGCATTTGTAAGGGCCTCAATCTCATGTGGATTCTTTGCTGTCTAGTAAGGTGTGAGTTTAACTAAAACAACTTCCTCCATCAGACTGCTTCTGCTCTATCAGGCCATCTGTCATCATGAAACCTGGAAGAATTTATTTATCAACATTTCTGTCAAGTTTGACTGAAATCAGCCAATAAGTTCAAAAGCTAATTGAGCATCAAAACCAAAGTACAAATGCTTAAGCCTTGTGTCCATAGGAAACAGATTAAAAATATAAGAGCACTGATCACAGTTCATCAGTATATATAATAAATGTGATTCACTCTCAAATTCTGCACAAATTATTGTGCGTATCATTATGACTCATTAGACAGTACAAAAGGTTCCTTGACTGTGATCTTGCTGTCCTGCTCAGGAAAATACACTCAAGTATCCTACGTTATTGTTCTGGGAGGACATATTTGAAAACAGAACTGCAGCGAACGTACATCCAGCTTAAATTTCTCACATATTCTGTAGAATTGAACAGAAAAAGCTGGAGAGAAATATAATCAGAAATTGTTAGGCAGACCACAGATGGAAAACTCTGCACCTTCCCCTTCTGTCAAAATTGCCCCAAATATTTTCTATCTACCATGACTTAGATCCTGAATTCTGTCTATGAAATAGTAAGGTTGACATAGCCCCATCAGCATGACAGATTTTGATTTAACATAGCCCTCACAACTCTTCGGAGAGCCCTGGTCAGAGTATTACACAGAGGATTTAAATCTACTCCTGTCTGGATATATGAAATCAGCCAAAAAAAAACTGTGTTCACAGCCCATCTGTAGTACTGAAAAGGCTCTATGCTGATAAGTCACATTATTTTCATGCAGAACTCAGATTACTGCTCTCAGCCAAAATTATATACTCCTGAATAACAGCTACAGAACAGACAGAGAAGCTCTCTTCATGTTTCTGCCATTTTTATACTTTCTCTTCTCTTTCAGCAGCAAGGGCTAATTGGACAGGGTGTTGAGTGGGAGTGTGCTTTCCAGTTGAATAGCTCATGTGTCTCCCCAACACATCTATGCTCCTTAGGCCCTAGGGAAATCTTTTAACGCTTGTTCTACGGCATACTGATAGTCAACAACAGGAAACTTGTATGCATGTGTACTATTCAGAAGTGAAATCTCCAATCTTAAGCCAAAGTTCTTCAATATATGCTTCACTTCAATGCACTGAGGCACGAGTGCTGGTTAACTAACTAGCAGCTTTTCTCTTTGATAAATGTAGACATTCATGGTTCATTCACTTCTGACCCAGCTGCTCAGTAGTGAAACTGCAGAAGCAGGATCTGATTCCAGCACTTAATAATATACCTAATTCCAGAAACTAACAATAAAGTTCTTCTTCTTTGAATATCAAAATTCAGTGTTACAGTTCAAACAAAAGGATCTTTCTAGAGTATTGAAGAAAGAATATTAGTTCATGTGAACATTCAATTATTGCTCTACAGCTCAATATATTACAGCCAGGTAAAAGTTAAAATGGAAAGGCCTAATTGAAACAATCACAGAAAGTAGGCCTGAAAGAGATCACTGATCACAGGCAGGATCAGGTGTACCTAAAACATTTGTGCTGGATGTTTTTTCTAAATTGCTCCTTAGATTAGACATTAGGGAACATTCCCTATCCGTATCTAAGCCCAATGTAACTATCTAAGCAAGGACTTTTTAATCCAAACCTGCCTTAAAGCATTTCTGTTCTCTCCACATCAGTTACGGATCGCTATTTATTTCCTTCTTGGCAGCTTCATTTAGTGATGACTGTCAGATCCTTTGTGTATACCGAATATTCTGAAGAAAATGTTGTGGAGAGCCCTGCTTAACGAGCTTATTACTTTATTTTAGTAATCTTACAAAATATATCCCTACTTTAAGGTTTTCATTTCAGCAAAAAGGTATCAGGCTATCAGTGGAACTTACAAAGTTACTGGTATTGTTGCAATAGTTATTGCCCCTGAATGTTTAGAAGTCTTGCCAGGGAAAAGCAGCGATGATAAAAGCACGAACAGCAACGTCATTCTGCTACTAAATGGTGATCTCCTAACCCGAGACTTGTCAAAACGGTACGTTAGTTTTGTTAGTTCTACCAGCTGCCAAACACATACAGTTAACCTAAGGAACAAGGATTTTCAGAATAATTTGAGAAAACTCAAAGAAAATTGAATAGATAGGCAGCTACCTAAGAATTCTTTGAATATTCTTCGAAATGAAGGACTGGTATGAGTATTTGCTGTGGAAGAAGTTGCTTTAAAGGAACTCCAGGTTTTCGCCTCTGAGTGTGCTCAGGGATGCTTATCCATAGGCTGTCATAAAGGTCCATTCTGATCTCCCTGCTGTTCAACACGCCTGAGATAGGCTAAAAGATTATAAAGGCACAAAGATAAAATATCTTCAGTCCAGCAAAATCTCTTTGTTGCAGTGGGTTTATCTTTTTCCCACCGTTATGTTCTTAACAGAAAAGTATTCTGAGTGTCACCTTCCTTATGTATGAGAAAAAGAATAGCTATGCAGCCTGACACTAAGCTATAAACCCTTATTTTGTTCCAAAGAATCCAGACAACGTGTTAGAAAACTTACACGTAGTCTGTACTTATTGAGGGTCTTTGTTAACAAAAGGAACTTTGACAACCCCAGAGATTCAGTCAAGAGAAAAATATTACCAGTGCGTTATGAGAAGCACTAGTACGTGCCACTATCCTTCATAATCCTTACTCAAGGCAACGTTATCTGTTAGAGACGAGCAAACATCTTTTAACCGTCAGGAGACTGTTTAAGCTTCAGCATTTAACTTCACATTCAGGGTCCAGTACTAGTAACAAGGCCACTTTCAGTGAGCTGCTGCTAAAAAGAATGGTAGATATCCACAAATGTGGAGGGATAGTGTGTCAGCAATATAGAGACTCCCATGACCACAGAGCAGACTTTTTTTTCCACCAGAATCGTTTTCAGCTGTATCTATCACATGATCAGAGGGACTATGCAACTGTGCTAGCACTATGGAAGCAAAAATGACACCAGCCTTCTTTTACTTTAGAAGCACGACAAGGAGAGGAGAGAGGAACGCACTGTAGACAGAGAATGCAAAAGATGAGGAAAAAAAGGAATACTGACTGGCAACACGCACATTAGATAGGCTTACATAATCCTAGAGGGCAATTACCAAGCAACACCACTGGAATTTAGAGAAGTGCAGAATTCAACATTTATCTGTTCAAAAAGTTTCATGTTAAAAACAACACTTACAGCCTAGAAACTGTAGTATCTGTAGTCAAATTATGAGAAGTTGCTACTTGATTTTAGTATAGAAGTATTAACTGTGGTATTTTTTTGGTACTATTCAGAACGCTTCTCAGTGGGAACCCGCTTCCACAGAAGCCACACAGCTCTGAACATCCCTGCTCCCTCCAATGTATCTTCTGTCACATTGTAAGCCTGGACTGTTAGCACAGTCCTGAAGCCAATACAAAAGCAGTACAAGGCACACCATGATAGCTTCTCATTACTCTCTGCACTACAACATAAACATCCCGGCACTTCAGTCATTTTTTCTATAAGCAGCATAGCAGTATTGCAGGAGCCATGGCCTAACGACATCAGAGGCACAGGATCTGTCCGCACAGGAATATCCAGGGTCCAGTATGCCAAGAGTTCATAAACCTAGCTAGGCCCCAGGGGATGTAACACATAAGTGACCTAAGGGCAGACCGTTACTTTTAACGTATTAGCTGATTAGAACAGGCTCCCTCCTCCCCGCCTGCCGTGAGCAACCCCTACGAGGCCCGCCCGCTCGCCCTGCAGAGCGGAGCACGACAGCTACTTATGCTGCAAGGCGGGCCCGGAGCGGCCGCAGCAGCCATCCCAACGGATCGCTAACGGCCCCAACTGTCTCGCGCACAGCCGAGGGCGCTCTAGAAACTGCTGGAACCGCCCGGCCCCTGGTTGCAACTGGCCAATCGCCGCGCCCCCGGGGCTC